CTTAGTGGTAAGGAGAAGAAACTTAGTGGTAAGGAGAAGAAACAGTGAAAAGAGAAGGATGGGAAATGTGCACCTTCGGACTTGCTGGATACGGTTGCTGTAGTCTTATAATAAAGTAGAATTCGTTTATTTGGTCATGTTTTCTGTCTGGATGACCAGGAAAGTTGATAAGCTATCAAACGACAACCCGGCCTTCACGTGGTGCCCCCCGTTCCCACCAATCGGGATCTGTCGACCCTTGGGACTGGCGCCCCCTTGGGTATATCCAGCCGAAACAGCTTCCATGGATCGCCGTATAATAGCGACTGGTTGCATCACCTGACAACCCTAGCCCAGGACCAAAAACAGTGGCGTCAAATTTCCATGGAAGTCGCCTATACCCACGATGGGTGAAGAGGCGTCAAGTACAAGTACAAGTCCATCCTTGTGGCTAACATGAAACATGTCTATAGCTGGATGCTTATTTTGCTCTGAGCCAGAATGTGCAGCATAGTCCTCAACTTACGACCACAATTTGAGCCCAAAATACGTGCTGCTGAATGAGAAATTTGTTAAGTGGGTTTTGCCACATTTTATGACTTTCCTTGCCACAGTTGTTAAGTGAATCAATGCAGTTGTTAAATTAGTAACATGGTTGTTAAGTGAACCTGGCTTCCCCATGGACTTTACTTGTCAGGTCATAAAAGGGGATCGCATGACCTGGGGACACAGCACCCGTCATAAATACAAAACCAATTGCCAAGCCTCTGAATGTAAATCATAAAACTACGGGGATGCTGCAAGGGTCATAAGTGTGAAAAATGGTCTAAAGTCCCTTTTTTCAGTCCCGCTGTAACTTCAAATGGTCACTAAGCAAACTGTTGTAAGTCGAGAACTATCTGTATTTGGCTTGTGTGATGAGAGAGCCTGATTTATTTTATTGTATTTATTTATTTGCCGCCCATCTTACCACAGGGTAACTCTAGGTGGCTCACAGGTACCTAAAAGCTAAAACATAAAAAGTTAAAAACAAACATTAAAACACATGAGGTGGGGAGGGGGGGACTCTTATTACTCTATCAACCACCCCCATTGACTGGGCCCCAACCCTCCTGTCTTCTCATAAGGGCCTGAAGACCTGAGTCGGCCTGGAGGCCCAGTGGGGGCCCAGCGCAATGGGGTGGTTGATTGAGTAATAAGAGACACCCCCCCCCCTCTGGCCCTGCCCTCCTCATGTGTCCTTGGTGTTAATGTTTGTTTGTAACTTTTTTCCGTTTTAAATTTAATGTAACTGTAAGCTGCCCGGAGGAAATCCACCGTTGTTGATCATTGAGGCTGGTGTACAGACCCAACCAAGTCAACAAAAGACTTATCTTAGCACTACATGCGGGGGGGGGGGAGGCTCTCCTGGGACGGTGCACAGGGTGGGATGGGAGAACACTGGGGGGTGAAGGGGCCTGCACCACAGAAAGGGTCTGCATTGTGGCAGCTCTGCCCGCCCTCCTGTTTCTCAGCTGTTTTGCTTTCCTTTTTTTGCAATTGCAGATGCCTCCATCAAACAGGATGGATCCTTCTTCACACAATCCCATGCAACAGGGCCTAAATAACCCCAACCTCGGCAATCAGCCAGGCCAGCAGCAGCAGCAGCAGCAGCAGCAACAACAGCAGCAGCAACAGCAGCANATTCTGGGAGTTGAAGTCCGGACATCTTCAAGTTGCCAAGGTTGAGAAACATTGGTCTAAGTCACATTTTCCAGTGCTGATGATCACTAAATGAACTGTTGTAAGTCGAGGATTACTTGTACTTTTGCTTTTTAATACCTTACAAAAAGTGTCCCCTCCAAGGCACATCCTTTCTCTCCGAGCGGCTTGTCTCTCCTTTTAGTGTACAAAGCAATGAATGCGGGGAAAGCCTCTCATGCCTTCTTGTGTCTGCTTTGAATCAAGCTGACCTCCAGCTCTGGCATCATCATGGCAAAGAGAAGAAAATGTCCCAGCCTTCATTTTTTCTGCACTAAGGGTTTTTCCTCTCTCAGCATCCTTATCACGAAGTCCCTGCCCTGCCTTGCACAGGAGAGAGAAAATCCAGCCAGCTACCAGTAGGTGGCTCCACAAGAGTCACAAGAGCATAGAAAATACGAAAAAAAAAATCTGAAACTCCACATCACCTCAGTTATTGTCCACAATGACTGACAGCCAATCAATGGAGTTTTAACCCGTTCTGCGGGACAGCCTATTCCCCAAAGCACCGGAGGGCAGGACGAGAAGTAACAGTTGGAAGCTTACCAAAGAGCGATCCAACCAAGAACTAAGGTTCCTGACAATGAGAACAATTAACCAGTGGAACAGAAGCTGCCTTCAGAGGTTGCGGTTGCTGCAATGCTGGAGGTTTTTAAGAAGGGATTGGACAACCATTTGTCTGAAATGGTAGAGGGTCTCCCGCTTAAGCAGGGGGTTGACTAGATGACCTCCAAATTCTCTTCCACCTGTGTTATTCTATAAGTAGGACCACTCTCCAGTCTATGAACATTGGCCTGCAAAGTGAGCCTTGATCATCAAGCTACAATTTTGTCTCTTCTGCCCCCCTCAAGCCCAGGATTCAACGACAAATATTTATTGGGTTCAGGCTTTACCCTCTGCAGGGTGCCCCAATTGAGTTATCAGCTGGGTAGCAAAACTCTCAGCTAAGGCTGAGAGCTAATCCAGGCTCTACAGGGGTGCTGGGCGTGACTGGATCTCAGCACCACTTGAAGAATTGGCACATTGGCTGTTGTGATGTGTCACTTCCGCTCTTACTAAGCAGCTAATTCCCAATGCTGTCATGCACAACTGTGGGAGAGCCACATTTTGCATGGCGCAAACTGTCTTTCTTGGGGCCAGTTCTGCTCATTGTGTCACCAGCAGATTTCCTCTGCGTGGGATTCCAGGGTGGAGAAATGAATATCAAAACAAGCCAAAACACCCACCCACCCCCAAAATCACCCAAAGTTCCATGTGATTCAATGCATCAAAGAAGCCTGGTGCTAAAAACATTCCCTTAAGAATAGCAAGTTTGAAAGACTGGCACTCCTCAGCCTACTCTGTGTAATTTTGAGGAGAATTTAATTTCAGGCAGCCCACTGAGCTGGGAAGGGAAGAAAAGAGGGGGACTATTTGCTTCATCAGCAGGGGGGCCTCGCCAAATTAACTCCAGGGGAAGGTGCTTTCTGCCCAAAAAAAAAAAATGTCTTTTGCGCCTCTGCCAGAGACGGTGAGGCAGTTCCTCTTTCAGGCGACAGAAGTACTGAAGCCGTTTGATGCTGGAAGAAGTGCTAGGTAAACATTTCCTAGACGTGGGTTATTTGTGTGTGTGTGTTTGTGTGAGTCTGCACCTTGTTAAGGTGATGGATGAAAGCATATCCCAGTCAGAGTAAGGCACTGCAACAGAACCAGAAATAAATCTCT